TCTCTCTCTCTCTCTTCTCTCTTCTCCTCTCTCTCTCTCTCTCTCTTTTTTTCTCTTTTGGCATCACCACATCACCGAAAAACAGGCACAAGACTTCATCAGACCTTGAGACCAAAAACAGGGTGGACACCAATTTGGCGCCGTCTCTTTGACGGCTTCTTGTCTTGCAGCTGCGGCGCTGCTCTCCAGCCACACCACGCCGCACCCCAGCCCGACCTCACCCAACATGTTTGTTAATTTAGCGACCTAAACTAATTACAACCCAACGACCTACAAAACATAACAATTGAGAGACGGTAATGAATCTTCCACCATGAGCCCCCAACAAATACAAAAATATTCGGGCTCAAGAAAACCTGAGAGACACTAAGGGAATTCCAACATTCGATGGTTTCTCTTGTCTCTTTGAATTTGTCGCTACAGCAGTACGTTCTTAGACCAACAAAATGAACAACAAAGGAACAACTGGTCTTTAAGCAAATTCTAAACAAACAACACAAAACGTCCCCGCTGCCGCCGGCTATATCTAAAAAGAGCGTGCTCCACCACGGAAATCCCATTTTTTGATACATTTAGTTCAATGCTATCTAAAAAGGATCTAGTCGACAGATATGCAAGCTTGTCAAAGTAGCCAGTTTGGAAAACTTCTGCGGTGTAAGTGTTTGAGACGGGAATCGGTTTTATTTAGCGTCAGTCTGAGCTAGACCATGATGATGAAACAATTGTTTCATTGAGGTTGGAAAAATAACACGAAAATACTCCAAAATATTAGACGTCAAGAAGACGCATGGCAAAGATATCAAGGCCAAGGACACTTCAAGGCAGGATTCGTTTCCTCAAATATGTTTCTTGGATCTCGGTCGGATGTCCTGCTGTTCTTATATGTTTGTTGTTTGCATATGACAAATGAGAAAATGGCTACAACAGCGCATCATGTGTGTTTGTTTCTTGTTTTTCTTTACTTTATTGGCTTTGTTCTTGATGTTTTCATGCTTGATGATGTTTATTTGTTTTTTGAGCCTGGATGAAACCAAAAAAACATGTTTCATGAATGTTTCATGACTCGATATTCGTCACGGACACTTCCTAGAAACGATGACTCCAGACCCATTTTAGGTAACATTGCGAAAACATGTTTTTGTATTCGTACTTTCAAAATACTTGTGCAGACTGTTGAAGTGTGAAAAGTCATTTTAGATAACCAATTTGTGGATAAAACAGAGGTGAACCCCAGTATCCGATAGCAATGGGATCACAAAACTAAATTTTCTGGACATAACCTCGACAGAAAAATCGGACCCCAAAAAGACACGTTCACCGTTCACTTGCGAAACACAACAGCTTCACCCTCGTGGACTGTGGCAACAGCATGGGATATGGGCCGTCGGTTTCTCGAATGGGTTGGTGCCACAGAATGGCCTCAACGGTCCTGGCTGTCCGGCCTGGAGGTCCATATGTAGGGCATGATAGTCTATTGGTTACCCATTGGGATTTTTTAGGTAAAAGCAATGTTCAACATGCTGTTGATACATCAGAAATCGGCATGGCTATCCAATTCGACCCCATTTTCTATGATGGTTTTGTGTTGTGGCCGACTTAGCAGATTGTTGTTCAACTGGTTTCTCCGTTCCTCGGCTGGACGCAACAATATTGTTTATTCCAACCAATCTGAACTTTGTAGCAGTAGCAGATCTTGACAAGACATTTCCCTCCCTGAAACAACCGTGGACATGAAAAAAACAATTCGTTTATTGAGGGAAATACGTTTCCTTTCGGGACCAATCTTCCAGACAATCATGTTTGTTGGAGTGAGGCCACTTCTTGAATAGTACTTTTTCACCCTCAGGGTCGATTCTGTTGAACCCCCATATACCATTTGCAATTTTCCCGCTGACTCGATCCCTTCGCGAACTTCCACCTGGACGACCACAGACGCAGACGAAGAACCTTTTTTTGACGAAATGAATAAAAACACCACCGGCCCGGGCCGGTGCCAGAAGAACCACGTCAAGCAGCGGGTCCCAGGTGGAGGTGTTCCCTTGACGATCTTGTGCGGTCACACCTTCCATGCGCGTTGCTTGTCGCGCTGGTGCGACACCACGTGTCCGGTGTGCCGCTTTCAACAGCATCCTTATCAGTGCCTGGGCGGATCTGGACGGCACGGGCGAAGTACAAAACGGAGTATTCGAGGTAATATCGTATAGTATCCGTTGAAGATCATTGAAGCATGAGATGGGCAGCTCTTACAAACATCTTCCAAGAGCAACAAGGCACAACCACTTTTACAGCTTTTCCACGAGAAGAGATTCTCTCGGTTTGGACACGCTGGACTGGGGTCGAAAAAAATGCATGTGTTCGGGGAATCCCCGGTGTTTGAGACATACAAACCTTCCACACTGCCTTACCTGGTGGCGTTCTTCGCCAAGACTGGACCACGTCGCGCTTTCAAGACCAACATCTCAAAAGGGAGACCTGTGAAGGCGCTCTTGAAACACTGCGACCTGTGATTCAAAGCCAGTTTCACCATGTCTACGACGCCTACTGTATAGATCTGCATCCTATACATGATGCAATAACATGTAGCTAGACAGGCGGGCTAAGTCAGACCCTTAGTTCGCTTTCGCAATGGCCCACATGGACTGGACAATCTATACTACCAGGACCTTCGAGGTGTCTATAAATAGCCTCTTAAAGGTAATTTGGGGTGTCCCAAAACCACCGGCCTGACTTTCACGACCGATGTCAACGTCACGGAGAACGGCACTGTCAGAGAGACTCCAAAGAAAAGGTCGCCGACGGTTCAGCTCAAAGGCTTCGGAGTCTCGGAGCCGAACTCGGAGCCCAGGACCTCCTCCTGTGATGTCTGTGGTCAGGCGGAAGGTGTCCACATTTGCCTGGTGCCCCTTGGCTAAGTCATTTGGAGACGAAAGAGTTCATTGATCCATGATCCATTGGGTAGTTTCCGCCCCCCCCCACCAAAAAAGAATCAGTCTTCAACTTGGAAAAGTCATTTGGGTTTCAGAACAGGGTGTTTCCTTCCCCCACAAAGAAATAATTCAAGCTTCAACTTGGCGAAGTTATGACTGGGTGACTGGGTGACTGGGTGTACCCCAAGACCAGCCATTTTACCGGGGCAATCCGGTTGGAGTTCCTGTGTCCAACACAGGCTCGGTTGTGCTAAACATGCGAGGAGATGCTATGGGCATCGTTGGTGAAATGCTTATAATATATGTTATACAATATATATATATGTATGATGTATAATATATTTATATTATATATATATTAATAATACAACTGGATGCGCGTTCTGAAAACTTTGCTTTGACAGAGGAATCAGGGAGGATGGATCCATCTTCTTCTTGGCCCGCACGCCCATGGAAACCTTCAACACAGCAGAAACCACCTGCGCTGAGGTGTGGCTTCATCGGCTGTACAGCGCCGCAAGGAGAAGGCCATGCACTACAACATTTTGAGAGCTCCTCCCATGCCTATGCCCTGGACGTGCCCCGTCGTGTTCTTGTCTTTGTCGGGTTGAGATGCCATCGCGTTTTCTGCATCAGAGGTTACAGAGCACAGCGACACAGCGCTTTGGCGTCGAAACAAAAAAAACCATAATTCCAAAGATCAAACATCATAAATTTTGCAAGAGGGCTCCGACTTCTTGTCCAATCTCGCTCGGCGCTCGTTTCTTCGCTTGCTGTTCGTCACCAAGTGATTTTCTGTTGTGGCTCACAACTGGCGCTCACAGGCGCCCAGCAAAGCCGGACATGGCTGTCCAAACAGCTCCACTTGGTTTCTTTACCCTCTCCTCTTGGCTTACTGTGGATGTATTGGGACTCCACCTGGGGCTTGCAACTGGCAACAAGAAAGATGTGATGTTCATTCCTGTTCGCCCCAGCTGCAAGATGGTGTATCACCTTCGACTCCAAAGCCTTAATGACGACAAAAACAAACCAAAACAAAGAAGATCATGTGCATAGCACAAAAAGGACCCTTATTCATTTGAGAAAACCACCGGTTGCTTCGAAGCACCACCGGGACCAAACCTTACGACTCCTTCCAAAAGTGCTTCGAGGGAGTCGTGTCGAGTCGACTTCTCGAGGTGAACACACAACATGTGTGGGACTACGCTGGCAATGGCTACGTGCACAGGCTACGGGGCCTGAGAGTGAACCAGAACAGCCCTGTAGCCTGGTGTTCTGGGCAAGTGTGTTGTGTTGTGCTGTGTTCGTTTGAGTTCGGTGTTGGCATTCAAGGTACTGTCAACAAGGGACGGCCGGTTCAGAGACCTGGATTGTGGGTGACTGGGTTGTTCTACCACTGTCTGTATGGTAACTAGATGTTACTTAGGTCATAGTATATACATATATGTTGGTGATCGTTCCGGTTTGGTCACCAGCTCTGGGAGGGTCAATCAAAGTCAAAGTGCTTTTCTGATGCTGGATCTCACTCTTGTGCTTCTGCAAGTTCATTCTCTTTTAAATATCCTTTTCATCTCCAACATTTTCCGATAATTACCCAAAGAGGAACATTCTCCGTCTTTGAGAAGTAGACCGAGTTTCCCCCCAAAAAAGAAGAACACCCAAGCCTTCACTCAAACCTGGCCTCCCAGAGTAGGCTGCTCTTCAACGACTCCGACGGCAAGATGGTGGAGCACACCGTGCCCGCCGCGGACGGCGGCGCTGCAGCCGCCGGGCTCACGGCGCGGTCCGTCTTCGGAGATGTGCGCTGGGCGGACATGGAGGACGACGATTGTGAGAAGGCGTTTTCCGAAACGGAAGGGGGTTGAGATGTGGTGAATTCTGTGATGAGTAGGTGGTGGGTGTGACCTTTCTCTTGTATTGGATAATTTCGCTGGAGTTTTGAGTCCCTCCCAGTGGGTGGTCTGCTAGGTGGGGCTTATCGCTGCGATATATCATGGAAACGGTTAGAGAGGCCGGGAGAAAGACATTTCCTCTAATTTGAAAAGTGAAAATGGTCTAGCAGTCTCTATGTCAGTCTTTGGGAAGGTTTTGTTAGTCTTATGATTAGGCTGCCAGTAAACTATTGACTGTGTTTGTTGTTAGTCGCGATGGCAGTGATGGGGACGGGGACTGTGGGTGTTGTTCTAGTTTTGGTATTGGGGTTGTCGGTGTTGTTGATGATGGTGGCGGTGGTGATGTTCGGAGTGTTATTAGTGCTTGTGTTTGTGTTGGGCCTGGTGTGGCAAACATGTTTTCCTTTTTGCTCCTGCTGCTGCTGCTGCTGTTATTAATGTTGTCGACATTGTTTTGTTTGAGCCGCTGCACTTAACAGAAAGTGTATTATCAATGTCTATTTGGGTTTCCTTGCTGGCATGTAGATTTGATGGAGTCAGGTCAGGCCATATTCATTTGTGAAAAGGCGCGTTTGCTTGAAATGTGATTCTGATGCATTCCGATGATTAGTTTCTTGGGGTGTAGTCTTCTGTACACTTCACGTCACGTATCTGCCACACTTTGAAACTTTGATAATTTTCATCTCCAATCTTCCACCACAAAGTTCCCATCAATGCAGCCATGAACTCTTTTGCCAAATGCGAGTCCCGGCCTATGTTTGCATGCCTGAGTTTGATAGGGTCGGTTTGCTAGGCCAGAAAGAAGCAGTTGGGTACACTGGTACACTCCCTAGAATCATCATGGTTACGTGGAGTTCACCGATTTCATGTTCATCCTTGTGGGGGCCATGCCAACTGAACCATGATGATTCCAGAAAATCTATGACTTCGGTCACCTCGGGATGGACGGGTGGAGAAGCTTTGCCCAAGCACTTGAAGGCTGGAATCCTTTCACAGAGCAGGCGGAGCCCATTTATAGCCTCAGCCCCTGACCCTCAACTTCACCAATGAATGCCGGCAAAAAAAATCACCAACCCATCTAAGGACATCTATATATGGTCCTAGTATATGTATGGAACACCGACAAAATCACCCGCCCATTGAGCTCAGAGCTCACACGCCGTGTCCGCAAAAAGCTCCTCCTCCGTCCCGCCGAACCCCTCCGCCGCGCAGATCGCGGCGCTCTTCACCCGGGCGTGGCTGGGAACGGATGGAGACCGGGCGATCTCGGGGACTCGGTCCGTGCGGGTCGTGGGTCGCTTGGTGACGGGTCGGGGACTTCCGGAGATCGGGAGTCCGGTGGAGGGATCCGGAACACGTTGGGATGTCTTTCTTTGGTTTGAAGTCGAAACCGGATGTTCGATGTTGGAAGAGAACTCGTCCCTAAAGGAGACCGTTTGGAGATGTCCTTTTGAAGATGGGCGTTGGGGCTCGAAAGCTTTGGCTGTGTCACGGAGACGAAGCTTCAAATAAAGAGTGAATTGTGACATTAGAATCATTGACAAAGCCCGAGTCTTGTGCTATTTGGATGATATTGGATGTAGATACTATGAGTGCACATGGTTTCAGTGCAATTCTAACCAGTCAGTTGGTGCAATGGGCTCGGGTGCAAGCAGACCTGATGATGAGACCCTGTTGGTCTACATCTCAGCAGATTTGGAGAGGGCCGAACGGCTTCTTGGCAAGGGAGGGAGCGTTTGGCATCCTCTTTCCCCAGAACGAGTCCCCGGAAAGCTTCCGTTTTTCGCCAATCTGATGTGTTTTCGGATCAGGACTGCCGCCACCCCACCCGACACTGCCACCCGACCGCGTTCGCGACGGTGCGATGGGGACGTAAGGGTGTCGATGGTCATCGATGGTCGCCCGAGGGGTAGCGGGGATGAAGCAGGCGACCCTGGACCTGAGAAAGTGAGAACATGAGATGACGAAAAGAGAACGTGAGATCTCGTCATCATGACCGAGTTTGCTGGGTAGTTTGCATAGTCACAAAGTCATCATGCCGAACATTTCACCCAGCCTTTTGGCGGGATTCGTTGGTTGGTCAAGTCTACTGGTCAAGCCTCACCGAACAGAATGGTTCGGGGTTGGGGGTTTAGCCTTTCACCCCTAACCCGATCTGGGTGTGTTGAAGCCATTCCTCAAGACCAACCAGAATTGAGGTGAACATATACGTAGAAATTTGTTCTGATGTGCTTGTGAACAAACGAGACCTAGATTCGTATGTCTTCAACAAATGAGACGCGCAGATTGTAGATGACCCGAAAACCAGTGATGCACCAGATTCTCCAGTTTCTCCCAGACTCGGCCACCTGAAAACATCTTCTTTTCTTGTCACCAGCCAGTGGTTGGCTGGTCTGGTTTGTTGGCCAGCGCGGGGGCCAGCAGAGTTCTGAGAGCCAGTCATGTGAGGCTACTAGCAGAGGCTCGTGCGGCAGGACCAGCTACAGTGATCAGAGGTTGAACATCAACAGCCTAGATGGGGCATCCTTTCAGCTTCAAATTGAGGATGCAGCCACAGAATCTTGCATTTGTTTATTTTGTTGCTCTTTTCTTTAGTTAAATTGAGTTTAGTCTATAGTAATCAAAAGATATCAAAGGCGTCACACTTAGTTTGTACATGCGTCGCACGCTTTTCTTAAATGGTGTTTCACGAGATGCCACTCATAAGGTCCGCTGAAGTGTCCGAAAAGATCACCGCTGAAGTGTCCGGCATCGGCATGAGGTCCGGCCGGATCATTAGTGCTGACCTCTGGTGGCTCGACGATGAGTCCAAAGGGCTTCTACAAGTCCTCTGGTGCCGGAGATCACCTATGTCGCTCGTAGAGTCGGGTGCTGGTTTACAACTCCTCTTGGAGTTGGACAAGCGGGTCTTGGCCACCGGGTCCCGGAAATTCTTGAGCATGGATGTGAACGTGCTGGACGCGGTTGAAGAGTTGAGCTTGATTCGGATCACTGGTCTGGTCTGAGAATTACAAGTGAGATACTGCCGCAGAACCTCAGACTGAACTGCTTGTCTCAGAGGGTTTACGAGAGCCTAGCAGACATGATCTTGCCAGACAGCCTAGAGACTTTGAACTTTGGCCCTGCCTTAAATGAGAGTTTTGGCAACAGTCAAGTTTCCATGCAGTTTGCAGACCTTGAACTTCGGCTACTTCTTCAATCAAAGCTTGGACAAGGTCAAGCTACCGGGCCTGGTGACCTTGACTTTTGGTGCCGAGTTCAATCAGAGCCTGTCAGGTGTCATGCTGCCTATGACCTCGAGACCTTGGTGTTTGGCAAGAAGTTCGATCAGAGCTTAGCAGGTCTCACATTGCCAAGCAATCTGCAGAATCTAACCTTTGGTACTTTAATTTGGTTTGGAAGGCGGGATGTCTAACAAAGCAACCAAACACATGGTGAGTCTGCCCCCCCTTTGCCCCCTGTTGTTTTAACCCCTTTTCAATTCTGGTGCTTTCTCCCTACAAGCCGTTGTTGTTTACTTTGCTTTTGTTGTTATTTTTGGGAGAGGGCAATGTGGACATGGCTGAAACTGCTCTCAAGACACGGGGTTTGAAGTCTGAATTCTAAGCCTTCGCCAGGCGTCGCGCTCCCTCATAGCCTGAAGACTCTGATATTTGGTGTTTATTTTGATCAAAGCCTGTCAAAAGTCACGCTACCTGGCGGTATGCAATCCCTGATCTTTGGCACAAAGTTCAACCAGAGCTTGGAAGGTGTCACGTTGCTTGGGACTCGTTGGTGTCAGGGATGATCAAACATCTCAAAGGACATCGTTTCCTCAAAAAAGATATGGGAAGGTTGAATCAGGAATCATTGAGGCTTGATATTTTTGTTTATCCCCGCTTGACCTTACAGGAGGGTTTTGACCATCCCTATTGATGTCATGTCATAAATTTAGTTGTTTTTCTTTTTGGAAATCCTCTTCTGGCCAAACACCACAATGGCTCACACATGTGCCGTATGAATCCATATTATAACCTCGGTGGCATTTCTTCTTTGAGGCTTCCGGATCTTGAAACGTTGATCTTTGGAGCATGGTATGGGCAGAGCTTCGAACATGTCACGCTGCCAAATTCTTTGCTCAAATTGACTTGGACCTCGGACTTGGCCTCTGTGACGTTACCAAGCAACCTGCACACTTTGAACTTTGGCAAATGTTTCAACGAAAGCCTGGTGGGCGTCACTTTTCCTTGCAGTTTGCGGGTGTTGAGATTTGGCAGTAGTTTTGTGCAAACGTTGGAGGACGTCACGTTTCCCAGCAACCTTGAAACGTTCGAAAAAAGGCGACTCCTGGAATTGGACTTTGGACCATGTTGTGCTGCCAAGCAGTCTGCAGACGTTAATCTTCGGCGACGTGTTTTGCCAGAACTTGGCAGGCGCCAGCTTTCCAGACAGTCTGCTGAATTTGACCTTTGGTCACGAATTCAACGAGAGCTTGGAGGGTGTGACCTTTCCAAACAGCCTGACAATATTGACCGTTGGCCTGAATTTTAATCAGAGCCTGACAAGTGTCATGCTACCGAGCAGCTTGAAGACTTTGACCTTTGGAGCAAACTTTAACCAGAGCTTGGTTGACGTTACCATGCCCAGCAATCTGGAGACGTTGACCTTTGGCCTTTGGCTCTAGTTTTAATCAGAGCTTGGAAGGAGTCATGCTCCCGAGCAACCTCCAGACTTTGGCCTTCGGTGAACACTTCAACCAAAGCTTTGAAGGTGTCACCTTGCCGAGCGGTCTGCGGACTTTGACATTGGGTGTCAAGATTGACCAACGCTTGGCAAACGTCACGCTACCAAGCAGCCTTGAGACGTCATCTTCGGCTGTTTTTTCAATCAGAGCTTAGAGGGTGTGTCCTTTCCTGACAGCCTGCAAAGCCTGACGTTTGGCGGGATGTTTAACCAAAGCCTCGTCGGTGTCACCCTACCCAGGAACCTCCAACAATTGCACTTCGGCCATGATTTCAACAATCCGAAGGGCGTTGCGCTGCCAAGCAGCCTGCGCCGCTTGAGCTTTGATGACAATGTCTGGAAGGTCTCACACTACCGCACTTTGGAGGAAATCTCGTTCCCCCATTTCACTTTGCAGATGCCTGCTGATCGCTGAGAAAAAGAACATGCCGCAAGCGGCTTGCGGCGGCTTGTTCCATGCTGCCGTTCGCCCCGCTGCCGAAATCGCCTTGGCACTGCCACTGTTCGGTGCCTCGAAACTCTGAGAGTGGACTTTTCAGTTCAAAGAATATGTACAGTATCCTCCACTAAATAGTTTTATTGATTAGCATACTCAGTTATATAGCAACTATAATATCTATAATTACCCTTTTGCCGAATTTGCCAATGAATCAGAACTGCGCTGCGACATGTCGAACTCGCACCAACTGTGACCCAACGTCGGCGCGACAGTGAAGATGACCACCTTGACAGGTCGTGCATGCCGATGGATCTCTGCATGTGTGTATTTTTACAGCACAGGTCCTTGGTCCTTCAATAGAACCGCAGAATACATATTATTGACATATTGTGAGCTCCTCAATTGGACACAGGAAGACCAACTGGAAGCCCAATATCAGATCTCAGTTTCTTCCGTTGGCTCCTCAAACCGTTCTGTGGAAGCTCGGTTTCGGAGTCAGGTCCGCTGCCAGCAGTTCCTCCTCCAACACCAAGAAGCAGGACAACACGGTCAAAGCAAGTCGTGGACGTGGCACGGCATCAGCACAGTTTAAATATATACAATGCTCAACAATGCTAAATATGGGTATTGAGATGTCGATGTTTCTCGAAAGGTACTCCTGTGGGGGCCAGCTTTCCTTAATTACTGTAGTTCTTCTGGTTGATGCTGAGATTCCACTGCGTATCATGAGGAACCGTTGGTCCTTGTTGGTGCGCTAGTGCACTTACTGTTCCATACTTTTTTCTCCAGTGTTTGCCTTTGAATCCGATGGGTCTAACCGTACTGAACCAGAGGGGCCCGCGCCGATTCGCCCCGGAATGAACAGCCACCAAAAAGTCCAGGAGGCCATCGTGAGCGAGTTCAACAATCTCCTGTCCTCCCAAATGACCGACGCTTGGCCGCTTTTGTTGGGAAGGCTTGGATCAGCTTATGGGTGAACGAACAGAGGACAGTGACGACAGAGGAACACTTCATTCAGAAACCCTCCTGCTTCTGTTCACCAGAGGACGCCCCCAAACATTGACAGCCCTAGCTAGGATGGGCCATCGACTGCGGAGTCGACCGTGACAAACATCAACCGTTTCCTGCGCGTGACCGGGGGTGTCAAGCTGGGAAGTGTGAACTGCAGCTGTTCAGCATGCTGAATGCCTCTTTTTTTGGTGGGGGGATCCACCAGTCATCCCAGCTTTTTTTGAGCAGACAACAGGGTTGCACATATCTGACTATGAGATTAATATGAAGTTCAAGTTGAAATCGTTGCCGCATTGTACCTAAGGACTCAAGCTTTCTACGGGGTGCCCCGAACATCCACGTCTAAATTTTTTTGGAACCCCTTTAGAACAAGGAACTTTCATAGATGGCCTTTTGCATCCGTTTGCTATTTTGGTTGATTCATCGAGGGGATCAGCGCTGATCCCTTTTCAACCACTCGGGTCGTCCGCGGTCTTCCCGCGGTCTCAGGCTCAACGTGAGCACTTCGATGAGCTCAGGCGAGAGCCGCGTCAGCGGGTCGTCCGCTGAAGAGAGACCCTGGGGGGTTCGAACCGTTCGCGACCGATAAACCGAAAACCTGAGGAAATGTCAAGGTGCTTTACGTGCTTCTTTAGTTTTTTTTTGAGAGGTCCATTGGTAGATTTGCAAGAACAAACAATGGAATTCCCAGATCAAACGCACAGACGAGTGAAACCTTTTTCACAAGAATTGGATGAGACGCGAGTGAAATTGGCAGCGCACATTCTACGCAAGCCAAACTCCGACCCTCTCAGACAAGTCTCATATCAACCAGATAGCGCCGAACCAATCCACATTGGTAAACGACGTGTAAGTGGGCCTAGACATAACGTTTTTTTTTTCAATATATTCAATATAGAAATATATTACGGGCAGCGCAACAAAGAAGCGTATGAGACAATGCATAGCGCAGAAGCATGTTTTGTTCAGTTGCAGTTTCTTGTAACGAAATGCCTGAAAAGAGAAAAGCAATAGGAATTCAATAGTACAAGCAATATCAGACAATATCAAACGTTCTATTCTGGATGCCGTGTTTGTTGCCAGAAACAAGAGGTTTATGCACTTGCATGCACTTGTTCAGTTGGCAAATTACAGTTTACCAAGTCATGTAGCGGTGCGTCGAGACTGAATTCCCTAAGCTTCGTAGAGGTTTGGTAAACATCACCTCTTCATCTCGGGCAGGTACTTCCATGGTTCCAAACATTCTCTGATAAACCAGACGAACACCAATCCCTTGAAGATGCTTGAACTGCTCAAACCTGCCTGGGCGGGCACCGTCCTGCACGTTCGCCCGGCCAGGCAGGACATCGAGAAGCAATGTGCCACGGAGCTTTCTGAGTTGGAGGAGAGCACAGAGAGAGTGAGAGAGAGAGAGGGAGCCTAATAGCAATGGCCTCCAACCCAAATAACTTCCTTGCAAATCAGTCCAATGCTGAGCGCCTGTTTCCATTTGTGCAAAACATAACGGTCGCCATTCAGAGCAAGCGCCAGATGCTCACTCCAACCTTGCCGTTCGCATCTGCGGTACGTCGAACCAAGCCCTGGGATTTGGTGCACCGACCGTCATCGAGGTGGTGCGGTCTCGAACGCAACGAAGTTGAACCATCTTCAGAACGATCGTTTTGAAGATTCACGTGATCGTTTTAAAGTTACCCCTTGTTATTTTGACTGCTGCACTTTCCGATGATGCCCCCTCCAATTCCAGAAGATGTCCCATGGAGCACGGAGATGCACAAACAGATGCTTTCTAAGTGGTGCTACTTGACCACGCGGGCGCAACTGCATGGTCACCAGAACTACGCTCAGAGCACTTTCCACCGGCAGGACCAACTGAGGCTTTCCAAGCAGAAGGCGGATGAAGCGCAGAGGCTTTGGGATCGTGAAGGGGGGAGGGCGCTTGGTCTGCCGTGGGCACACGTGCAAATGAAGATCCCGGGCCGGCCCTAATGCAATGATATCATGAACTTGTATGAATCATAAGACATGTTTTGTGAAAATACCACATGGAGCACAACATGTTGTCCATCGAGTATATATCGGATCCAAAACCAGATCATCAGGCTATATTTATAGGGTTGAATAATGTTAGATGACACTGCCATTGGTATGGTGTGGGTGTGTTTTGAAACCAGAGTGAACCTCCAGTTGGACCCCCTGGAAGAAGCTGAAGACAAACTATATAAACCCACGGAGAATATGGGGAATTCTTCACCCAACTTCAGTCGGTTCCTCCAATTCAGGTCAGTTCCCGGGAGTCAAATCCAGATTGAGTGCCCCATGTTGGGCCCATGGGGTACTATTTTTTCATCGGGCGTGAACGAAAACGAGGAAATCGACGACGCCCGGTCTGCAGCTCTTGAAGGCAAAACGTTCCAAAATGCCTGGATTTTACCCCAGATTTGTATCAGGATTTACCGCACGGATCATCCCCACATTTTCCACCAACTGACTGGTGCTTAGTAGGGAATAAGCGAATGACCCCCTCCACTAGATCGATACCTTACAATCCAGGCATCCTCTTTCCTTACGAGTCGTCGCGACCACTGCTCCACCGAGTCGCCGCTCGCTCCGTCCCAGGCAGCTGACCGAGTCGCAGGAGGAGTTGAAGACTCTCGAGCAGAAGATCGCCCAGGCTGTGGCAGATGAGGCCCTCGTGGCGTGGCCGAAAGCTGTGGCCCTTGTGAGGAAGTGGTGATGAAGTGGATCTGGTGGAAACTGGTGGAAACTGGGTGGATGTGCTATAGTGTTTTGGAGTTTGTGAAAGGTTTGGGGATGTTGCTGGATGTTTTTGCGAGGATGATGGTGGATGTGGCTGGCTGCCGGGAGTTTTTTGGGTTGCAGGTGTTCTCAGAACATGATGTTCTGGGTATTGAGTGTGCAAAGCCAGCATGCCACAAAATGCCACAAAACCAGGAGGTGAACACCTACTCAATTTCAGAGATCCTCCAATCCAGCCGTTCCACACATTTATCCACCCAACCACTTCAATGAAAGGAAGGCCAACTGGAACCGTCGAATCGTTCCGGAGCCGAGGCGCAGCGCCAGCGAAGTCAACTGGAGCAGCTGAATCAGCGGCTGTCGCAGGAGCAACGCGCCTTCGAGGTGCGGGCGTGCGGGCGCTCGACCGACCGTTGCGGCGAGGGAGACTCTGAGATGATGGGCCGTCATCGGAGAAGGCGGAGGTTGATGGGTGAGTCTTGGATCCTGTAACAAGCTACTCGTACTAGGAGCAAGAAGCTAGTAGGGGCTCCTGGCATCGCTACTAGGAGCACGGACGCTACTAGGGGCTCCTGGCCGTACTACTAGGAGCAAGTAGCTACTAGTAACCAGTTGTGGGTTTGATGTTATTTTTTTTTCCCGATAACTTGAAATTCGGAAGACGGACGTGCAGGGAAGTGCAGGAAGTCCAGCAAAATTTGTGGGAGACTTTATATGTGGTAGAACTGTGGGCGCCATGTTTTAAGAAGCTGGACTTTGTATAGTTTGATCTTGGGAGTGCATGAGGAAGAATTTGCTGGTTAGAGGATGAAGATCTACTGCCACTTCCATGTTGAGCTCCAGGGAGTATAAATTCTTTTGGACGCGCTTTTTTCTGGAAGAATCAGAGGCACCGTAAATGGGATCTTAACGCGACACATGGCAAGGTCTTACAGGGTGGAATACCCCCAAAACAGGTGCATGAACCTCAACAGGGAGCTAATGATCTATAGTGACCTCAAGAGTCCATGGAATCCGTTCACTCCTTTGCCCGAAAACTCCAGGATCGTCAGGACACCGCAGCAGAGAAGAAGAAGAGCGGCCGACAACTGCGGGACCGTAGACCTGGTTGCACCGGGGGCGTCCGAGGGGTGGGATGAGGATGCGACCGGGCGAGACGGCAGAGGAGGATTGGCTCGAGTCTGGGGATGTGTGTGTGTAAGGAAATGCACTTGAATAGGGCTTTGCTGCACTTGATTGTGGGGGTGGGTTTTGGAGTATTTGGGTCTTTAAGTTAAGGGTTTGCCCTCCACTCCCCCAGTCCCTGCCACCCTCCCCGGTGGCCGCGGTGGCCACTTTGGCCGGCGCAGCTGCCACCAGCGCTGCCAGAAGATCCTGCAGCCCGGCTGCATGGTTGGGAGTGATTGGGAAGAGGTCATATTTTTTCACTCCTGCAGGCGTTTCCAGGTCCAGGGTTCAGTTGGTCACAGGCCGCTAGCCTGTCTATGTACATGGGACCTGCAGTCCCTGTATTTTCATGCTTATGTGGAACCTGATGGAATCTTATGGAATCTGAAGGTATGTATGCCAAGCTTCAAGTCTGGTATGTGTTCTGATACATCATCTATCATAAAGTTTGGGAAATGTTTTGGACAGTGTTCTGATGCCAAGCAGACCACAGGGCAACACACAGAACAACGCCACACAAGTAGACTACCGAGGAACACACAGAACAAAGGCACAGAA